CCCATGCCACTTGCAGTACACTTTTCCTTTCAGTTCCTCTGGTGACGGCACTCGCTGCCCGTCTCGGAGTTTGATTTGTTTGTCCTTTAGTAGATGATCAAAAATCTGTTCGACTTTAGACACATCGAAGGTATACTGCACGCCTCCGACCTCCTTACCCCTTGTAGGTTTTAATGCCGAACATGATTAAGTTTTTCCTTTCAGAAATTCAGCCGCTAACACATCTTGTTCCTCGCCATAATCTTCGTCGGCTGAACTTTCATCATCCGCACAGCAAGTTGTCCCTGCTTTTCCATATTTCTTCCACCTACCTACAGCAGCATCTCGTCTCTCTTGAATGAGCTTTTCTGCTCTCATTGCGAGTGCACTTAGATGCGGAAAATCTTGGAAATCCTGAACTCCCAGCCGATCTCGAAGATCTGATCGCATGTTATCTACTGCCATCGCGGTGTCTTGTTGTTCGGGGATCTGCACTGTGCATCGTGTCTTAGTTTGTCGAAACCTGTCCAAAAATTGTGCCACAAGCTCATCATATCCCTATTTTACGGCTACCAGGTAGGATATTGTAGTCTCCACTAGTGGCGCATAAAAACGGTCGTGAAAAAGCCTCTCCAAATCTGACCAAGACTGCACAGTACCTGGAGCCAACGATGTACACCAAGAAAATGCAGTACCTGTCAGAGATAAAGAAAACAATTGTAAATAATACCAATCATTTCCTCCCAAATCTCCACACTGAGCTGTAAATTTCCCGATATGCTCTATCGTTGATCTCCCATTTTCGCCTGAGAAGAGTGTACAATCCGGCGTTTTATTCCGAACAGGCAACGGCATCATCTCACTACGATTAACTACGGAAAGCGAGTAAATAAATTGCAGAAAGCATATAATAGGAATTAAATTTCATAAACGAAAATAAAACAAGGAAGAAAAATATGAAAAGATGCGATTTGTTCTGTTGTGCGTGTGTGTTGTGTTTCTTTTTCCTACTTGTAATCCTAAGCTAGAATAACCACTTATCCCACTAACAAGGGTGGTTACATAATTATTCCCACTTCTTTCTATCTCTCTTAATCACTAAGCAACCTCCTTCCATCAGTTCCCAACGGCTTACATTGCCTTTGGACCGAGTTCCATTCGTCTTGAGCATCTTCCATCGTTCCTGGACCAAGTTCCATTCGCTCTGGATTTTTGCCATTGCCTCCAGATCAGACCTGCAGTCTACCCTAATTCGTTTCCATCATACTCCTAGCCGGTCTACGGGGATATGTTCCCGACAGCCTTGAGTTACATGGAACCCTCATTCTTCTTCCTTCCGTTTTGACCCCTAGGACCTTCCATATAGGACCTATAGGTACCATGGTCTTCCATTGATATTGTGAGGTTGCCGATTTAGGGTTGATGGAGCTTGTCGTCCGAAGGTCTATGGAAGTCACATCTTCTTGCTCCATGGAAGCTCCACAACCTGATGGAAGTCACTATCTTCGACATTTAAGTCATTTTGGACTTGGGGTCCAACACCTATATATATAAAAAAGAATATTATAAAAAATTTACAAAAATATATAATATAAAATATTACGAAGTGAATAAAATACCTCAACTTTAACAACCAATTTGGATGCATATATGGCATTTGGTTCTCACTAACAATTTTGGTGAATTTCAAGCTCAGAAAGTATTCAACTTAGCAATTCCTATATTGATTATACAAATCAATTGTATAGAATAACTATTATAACAACACTTAGTAAATATGTACTATATATTTAACATATAAATTATTTTAAGCATATAACCAATTTTTAGAAGAAACAAGTAGCATGATCTAATAAGTCAAAATATTATAACTTATAATCAAAGTTTTTTACTCCGAAAAAACATGCTCAACTACAGTCATATTTTGTTGACCTATCTCATATTTTTTTTACATAGATTTTTTTATCTATCTCGAAGTTTTTCAATAAGAATATGAAGTAGTAAAGAGTTGATCGGCATACTAGATAGGCTGCTGGTTGTAATGACTCTTATTTTTCTTCTTAGCAGTAGCCCCGAGCTTAGCATGCCTGGCAACAGCCTCCTATGCAGCACCTTTGGAGGGCGCACCCATTTCTTTATCAGATTTCTTGAAATAAAAAATAATAGAATCATACAATATATATCATCAAAGATATAAATATTTCAATATATCCAATAACATATATACATATCATAGAACATATATATAAATCTTGTTATTCATAAAAAAAAAAAAATAATAATAACATTATATACATATCATAGAACATATATATTAATACAGTTTTTTGTAATACTATAAATAAGGTGGAACATTATTTGATTGATATAGAAAATGGAGAAATTAAACCCGTAAAATCGGATTTCATTTTGAATGTACTGATATTCAGCATGTTGTCTATGAATCCAAAAATGTGCAATTTGTTGAGATTGAAATTGGTGAGACTGATTCTGTAATTAACTGTAGTGTTGTTGAAAGTGTGTATGCTCTAAGAAACGAAAATTCAGAGGTTGAGAGAGTGAGAGATTGTGATTTTAATTGTGATGATATTAATTCTATTTCTGATGAAAATGATGTTCAATCGACTGAAATTGTGCAAACATATGTTGAAACTGATAATATCAAATTTGAGAGAGAAATTAATATTGTTTTTTTTAGTGTTCAATATGAGGTGGAGTTTGCTTTATATAGTGAAACTGATATTTTCGTTGTTGATTTTCCAATTTTATCCGTTGCTGGCCAGCTTGTTGTAAGTAAAACAAAAAATACAGTTTCTGGAATTGAAAGCAACGTTGGAATTGTTTCAAATCATAGTAATGAGATTGAAAATTACCTATTGATAAGAGATGAGGTTAGGAATAGTCCTAAAGTGTTCTTTATGTTTGGTAATTTTGATTTGTCTTCTTTACTTAGAGGTATGTTTGAGAACTTAGATGTGGATACACCTATGAGTGGTAGGAAATTGTTTACTCCCAAAAGTAAGTCTCAATATCTAGTGTTAAAAGAAGATAATAGCTCATTAGTCAATAATAATTGTTTGAAAACAGTTCCTAAGGTTTGCTATTGGTTTCTCTGTATTATGTTATCATTGGTTGTGAATGATATGAAACTTGTAAAAGTTGCTATTGTTTTTGTTTGTATATTGTGTGTTACAAGTTTTGGTTGTACAACATAATTACAATGTAATGCAGTTTTGTTAATATTTGGATTTGAATGTATCACTATTGTTATAAATACAATGTTCTGAGAAATTAATAAATTTGTATCTTGTTAAAAAATAATATGTTTTGATACATTTGATTAGTTGTGTTCTACACGTGTGTAGATGTTAGGCTAAATTAATGTGTTTTTTTTTTTAAACTTGGTTTATCTCTTTTTTTTGCACATAAGTAATCCAAAATTATGGGCAATGATGACCCCAATCACTCGAATTAAAATCAAGTGGAGGATTTGTTGGATTTTAATTCAATTGGATCCACCCAAAAACAAAATCTCACCTAATTTGCAGCCAAAAGAATCTTGGCGCAGGCCCATGGTGCATAGCCCATATTAGGCCCGCGATCCGCAACCCGTTACCTGCAACCCATGACCCGCATCTTTATTAGACTTAATCCTCACCATCCGATCTAGGTTGCAGATATTGGCCATTCATCCTATTTTGACCTACATATATATATTGAGAGGGGGAGAGGCGCCGTCACTAATATTCATTCTCTCAACCCTCTCTCTACAATTCTCTCCTCCCTCTCACTAGCCTCTCTCGTTCCTTTCACACAAACTCTCTCCGGTGGCGGTTTGCGACGGTTTACGGCAGTACACGGTAGTGCTTTCCTCCTGTAATCTTGTGGAGCTCCTTTGACATGACTCTTTCCTCTTGTTTATTGTTGTTCGTAGCCGCAAAGGGCTCGTTCAACGCTGTAGGCGTTTCGTTTGTTTATGTTTCGCCTTGTATCTTCCTCTTGGGGTATTTTTCTTTGTGTATCGCGGGTTTAGGGCCGATTCCTTTGTGTTCGTCGCATTATAGGTGTGATTTGTGTTGATTTTTGTTGAAAAGTGGTTTTGGGGGCTGAACCTAAAACGAAAACTAGTTCAAAGTTTATTTCTATTTTTCGTTGTTTTTTTGTTAATAAAATCTCATTTCCGATCCTTAAATTCCATTAAAAGTGGTGTCGGAGCTTTAGCCCCTGTCATAAACTTTGTCATTTCCTTAAGCCAATACGGCATATCTTCTCCATCACCGCCACTATTGCAAATCCGTGTAGCTTCCGGGCTCTGGGCATTTGAGGCTGAGACTAAGTGCGCTTCTGCCTTGACTGTTCGGTCATCATTATCACCACCCACCTCCTCTGTTTTCTCTTCCTCTGAGGAGCGTTCACTGCCATCTTTCTTTTCGGCATTCTATTACAACGTTGCCTTGAAGCCTTCACTGGCGCGCTATCCTTTTCAGTTTCACTTCTTTTCTGATTCTTCAGTTTTTGTCTCCTCATCAGAGTAAAGTCTTGATCATCCTCATCATCCATGAAGTTCCCCATTTCATCGCCAGACAAATCACTCAACTCATACGACTGGCATTTGTTGGTCCTACTCAGAGATCGAATCTGACCTCCAATGCCAGCCAAATTTTTACTATGTACCCGAATGGCAACATCGGCATTCCCTCCACAGATAGAATCCCGCAAATCCCATTCAAATGAGCCACTTTTTTCCCCTTCTCTACGGGGGCCACTGTACTGGAGGGAGTGTCGGGAATGCCCCCACTGGAGTGATCCTCTAGTTCAGGGACCGTCACTTCAGGCCCAAATAGTGAAGCATAAATGTCTGTTCGATTCCTCCGATGATCCCTAGAGGACAGGTCCTGGTTCCAAAACATGACCAAAAACAAAATTGGGTCGTAATCAATAAATTTGGTGGGGGTATGATATGGAGATCAAAGTTTTTGGGGGTGAAAAAAGTGTTTGGAGAGGAAGGTAAGGGTTAAGAAATGGCTTGCTGGTTTCGCCTGCTTAGGAAGGATGCTTGGGTTCAAGTTCAGGTTCCTCTTCGATTTTACCTACGTTTGATGGCTCTTGTCGATGAAATTTGCATTTTTGTTTGGTTTTTTGGATCAAGTTTGTCTTGATTTGCAGACAGTAGGAAGCCAAAGTCGAATGCAAGTAAGAGAGGTAACTGATATTGGATGCGGAATCTTCTCCAGGTGTTTCTCGTTTTTGTTTTTGCTATTTTTGTGTGTCATAGTGTTTACAAATTTCAGTGTGCATGAATATATTAGTTTTCATGGCAATCATGCTTTGCTATTTTTTAAAGTATTTTCTAATTAGATTTTTAGTCATGTAACATTCATGTGAAGAATTAATGATCATGTAAAAATTGATATTTACAGTAGAGCACGTCAAATGGTTATATGTAAAGATTAAGTCGGTCATAACTTCACACTATATGATAACTACATAAATACAACATGTCAAAATCTGGGGCCTATAGGTGTAAATAGATGTTATAGAAATGAATACCCAAATTTCATACCACAAAGGACTTTGTTCGTGGAAATTACGGATATTTATTATCTTTACTTCTTTGTATGCTACAGTCAAAATAAAAATCAAGGAACTTTGAAAAGAAAGACAAAATAACATGAAGTACAAGAGGAAGAGTTTTCTTTCAAAAAATTAAAATTTAACAAAAACGGAATTCATCCAGTGAAACCCTAGTTTTAGTTTGTGAAAATCTAAAACTCAAAGAAATGGATACAGGTTTGTAGAGCTTGCTAAGACTAATCAAATCAAACAAGAAGAACCAAGGGCGACCAAAAATCTGCAAGAAATTAAGCTACAAAGCAAAGATCAACATCCAAATATCCAAATTGCTTTTCTCGTTCGACGGTCGGAACTCTCTCTCTCCCACTTCTTCTCTTGCAGGTAGAGGTATGTATATATATGTTTTTTTTTGTGTCTCTCTACCTTCCAAGTTGTTATCGTGGCACTTTTATGGAGCTTCATCTCCATTTCTCTGAATCAGAACAAATGATTAACATCTTTCATCTTTAGCTTAATTTTTTGTAGATTTTTGGTTGCCTTTGGTTCTTCTTTGATTTGATTAATCTACCTAGTACTACAGACCTATGTCCGTTTCTTTGATTTCTAGATTCCACAAACTAAAACTAGAATTTCTGCAGATAACATCTTTGTATTTTATTTTTTTAAAAGAAAACTTTTTCTCCTCTACTTCATATTATTTCCTCAAAACAAGTCGCTTGTGGTATAAAATTTGGCCGTTCTTTTAAATATCTAACATCTATGTACACTTATAGCTTTGTCAATGTTTTCTTATCTCTTTTAGTTTTATGTCATTCTGTCATGTTACTGCTTTCTTAGAATTTTTAGTTTCAAATTATCCAATAGTCATTTAAATCTATCTTACAAGATTTTGACGTTGACTAGTTTTACGGTGAATATAATATTATGACAGACTTTCTCGATTATCTACCAGTGGAGATCATTATTAGAATCCTTATGCTATTAATTGATCCCGTTGACATGATCCGAATGTCAGCCGTTAGTCGTATCTGGTACCATTTTGGTGAGTTATGTAAATGCACACATTCATTGTTATTAAGTTTCTATCAAGTAGACTCAACAAACACATTTGATCATTATATGTTACATACGATCTTCTTGTCTAGTAGCCGGGGATCAAGATTTTTTTTATTGATTTCAACAAGTAAGCACTTAAATTTGACAGGTTGCATTTATGTAATTATCATGTAGGGTGGAGTAACGACCAACTTAACCTTTAGAATTTTTTTTATATCAACACCTACTCAATGTTGCATTTATGTAATTATCATGTAGGGTGGAGTAACGACCAACTTAACCTTTAGAATTTTTTTTATATCAACACCTACTCAATGTTGCATTTATGTAATTATCATGTAGGGTGGAGTAACGACCAACTTAACCTTTAGAATTTTTTTTTATATCAACACCTACTCAATGTTGCATTTATGTAATTATCATGTAGGGTGGAGTAACGACCAACTTAACCTTTAGAATTTTTTTTATATCAACACCTACTCAATGTTGCATTTATGTAATTATCATGTAGGGTGGAGTAACGACCAACTTAACCTTTAAAATATTACATATGTTTGGTAATATATTATTATTTGATGTATTCTAATCTAAATATTCGAATATCATATATAACACAATCAAAATTACTATTGTTTTGATATGTCCGAAATCTATGGCCTATAGGCACTTTACTAGTTTCATAGACAATATAATAACATTTCTAATATTTAAAAGCTTCACAACCAATAATACGGTGACTTTGTTGACTAATCTATTTTCATATGCAAGTTAAATACATATATACTAATTTTTTTTTTTTTTCATTCTTTATTCATATCTTTCCTTTCAAGTCTATTGCTGAATTTTTATTTTTATTATTATTATATTCAAGCATAATGAAATGTGTAAACACTATTATACACAGCTTATCATTATGTTTAGTTAGGGAAATTACTTTTATCCATTTTTACACACATTGTGTTTTGTTTTTGCAGTTGTCCAAAATGGCATTGCAAAAACAGCTTGTCTAAGGAGAGCTCCAATGCTCAAGAATACAAGCTACTGCGACGCAATTATGAACCAGAGGAAGAAGCACCATCTTCCAAGATTCAATGATCTTTGGAAGGAACAGAAACTGTACTCAAGCCTCCTTGCTATTCTGTCAAAAGCAAGTATGATTAATCCAAAGGATTGCATTGGGTTTATCATCGGAGCTTCTTCTACAAGCCATTATATAGGAAAGAGCATCATTCATGCACTCCTTCCAAATAAAATGTATTGGTCGAGCAAAAGGCACAGCGACGCTAATGTGTCTGAGACCATACTTCTCAAACTCAATGGCGGAGTTTGCATTGTATCAGAGATTCAAATCCAACCTTCTCGTGGTATAAATTCTATAGTATACTTTTCCATTGCCTCGACACGTTTGTGTTCATCCTATTTTATATTGGGAATCCTGAGTTCTTCTATCTTATTTGCATTCCCTTTCAGGGCATTATGGTAATAGACAATATATATTCTCCGCTATGTCAGCCCAATTCAGCATGGGGCATAGTACGTTGCCAAGATATCAAACACACCAGGACATTAACTTTCCGGGGGATATAAAGGATGACCACTTCGTCTGGGGTTATACATCGCCTCAATTCCCCATGAAACAGGTTAGCACTAGCAGTCGTCCTAATTCCAAAAGAATTTTGGTTGAAAATAGTAACTTATATTTGCTCTGATATGAATTGCATATGGCCAGAGTATCCTCAAGCAAACATTTACACTGCCTGAACCAGTTCTATGTGTTGGAGGGATTCGGAAGATCGAACTCTTGGGGATGGTGCTAAGAGACCCAAGGAATAACTTATACTATCATTGGTACTTAAACAACCTTTACCTTTGCAATACTGCATGTAAATGTGCACAGCGAACAATAGGGATCAATCTTATTCAATCCAAAAACTTGGCCATCACTTACCACTATATATATATTGGTTAATTGCTGCAGCCTGCATCGGGTGAGCATCCGCGGGCAGTCCCTCGAACCGGCCTTCGACATAAAGACAGTTGAAAGGGGCAGACTACTACTTAGGCACCAACCTTCAGCAGTTATTGATGTTTTGAGGCAGATTCCCCTTCCCTCCACGGCTGTCCTCAGCCAAATGGCCGTAGCGCAAACTGTGGAATTTATGTTTAACCTTCTTTTTCCTTTTTTAAACTTGGACCGAAATATAGCCTTGGCTCCAGCCCGAAGATACGCCAATAATCTCCTGGGCTATAGACCGAATGAAGGCCGAAATGGTAGGGAAGACGCAGAGGCCTCGAGCCCAGGAGTGCCAGACTTCAAAGCATACAATAGTCCTAAATATGGATGGCATCATTTGCTTATGCATTTTAATATATCATATTGTATTTAATTTGAGTAATACATACTAATTATGTATCATTTAATTGGTCTCACTTTATTGGTTTTTATATAAATTTTATTTTAAAATGAAGTAATAAAAAATTTGCAGTAATAAAAGAAAATGTAATCATGGGAATATAAAATTTTGAATTTATTATTATTCAATTTAAGTACATATTAAAATTGTTTATTATTTTATGACTTTCAAAAAAATCTACAAATTTCACAATAAATATTATGCAATAATAAATTTGATGGAAATTCTCGGCAACAAATATTCAAAATAATATCTAGTTATATATACACTACAAAAAAAAAATACATTAGCGAAGGATCTTTTTAAGGAATTTTATATCCCTCGCAAATACCAATGAATTTTGTTTTTACGAAGAAATTTTGTAAGGGAATTAATTAATTCGTAATTAACGAGGAATTTAAAGATTCCTTGCTATTAGCAAAGAATTTTGCTAAAAATTTATATTCTCTCACAAAATTACAAATTAGTATTTTTATTAATAAATAATATTTTTTAAATTATTTTTAAAAAGGATGAAAAGTAAAAAAAAAAAAAAATCTTAATAAATTTTAGATTTTATTAAATTAATAACAAAATAATTATTATGAAAATTTATAAAATATAATATAATTTTTTATTAAAAATACAAATATTTTTAAATAAAAAAATAAACATATTTTTATATAAGAAATAAAATACTTATTTTATTATATTAGTATTATCATTTTTTTTTAATATAAAAAACAAATAATAATATAAAATAATTTTAATTACAAAAATATTATTAAAATTATTGATATCAAACTTCTAACCTAGCCGCCACTCTTCGTCGTCTTCTTCTTCTCCTCTTTGTTTTTGTTTTTGTTTTCATTTTCTCCAATCCATCGTCGTCTTCTTCTTCTTCTTTTTTTTTTTTTTTTTTTTGTTTTCATTTTCTCCAATCCATCTATTACGAAGAGTTAGAGTTCTGATTTGCAATTATTGGTTTTGTTATGTGTTCCTAAGATGTCCAGAGCTTCGAATTAACCCTACACATCAGAGTACTCGAAGATGAGCTCTAAATCCTATGGTAATTTATATATGATCAGTTTTTGGAGTTCTTATTCTGATATATATATATATATATGAGCTTCAAATTGCCTTTTCCATTAGAATTTTGTATAATTGCTATATGAACTTGGATGATTATGTAAATTTAGCTGAAGTTCATGCTAGATTAAACTCAGGAATAAATTTGGACATTGAATTGCTTTGGGTACAGAAATGGGGCTTGTTACGTACCGAAATGGGGCTTTCATGTACGAGGTTGATTCAGGGAGCATTATAGCTGTAGGTTATAGCTTCTTCATCTGCTCTACTTGTTTAACATTGACAGATTTTTCAATCCGCATCAGTGATAATAATGTTGTGTTCTTTTGCTTACTTACGATATGTTGTATTCATGATGCTGGCACAACAAAATTAAATGTTGGCCTTGTTTATGCTTTTAAATAAAATGATTATTCAACTAGTTCATCCGTATATGTGCATTTGTATCAAACCACATCAATTCGGCAGTGAATTATCCCAGAGATTGATGCAACTAATGAATAAATGACAAATCTGCGACAGGCCTGTTGTTATAATAAAGAACTGTGAACTAGTTACTTCTTTCTGAGCTACTTGAACAACTAAAAGGCTGGATGGAGACCACCACTGGAGTGCAGGCTATTCCAGTGATGCAGCTCTTCCATAGATTGTCATCAGCTGTTGGGGGTCCCTTTGTTGATAGTGTAGAAGCTGAGAGCTTAAATTTGGAGAAGCTGATTAAGTGGTTTCTTGATGAGATGAAAATTAACCAACCGTTTGTAGCCCGCACCTGCTCATCTTTTGGGGAAGTTTCTATTCTTATCTTCATGTTTTTCACCATTATGCTTCGTAACTGGAACCAACCGGCCAGTGATGTTAGTGCATCAAAATCTTGTGGGACAACAGATACATCAGAGAAAATGACAATCCAGACGCACTCTTCCATGTCATTATCCAATTCATCTATGTCGGATGGCCAAGAAAAGGGTGACTTTACCTCTTGTCTTCATAGAGCATGTGGCTATCTTATGCAGCAAGTATTTGTTAATTATCTCATGGATATCCTGCAGCAGCTTGTGCATATCTTCAAGACTCCTGTTACTGCTGATACTCATGGATTGACCCATGGTTTTGGCTGTGGTGCATTGTTAACCGTTAGGAGAGAGCTCCCTGCTGGTAACTTTTCACCATTTTTCTCAGATTCATACTCAAAATTGCACCGTTGAGATCTCTTTGCCGACTATCACAGACTGTTGTTGGAGAACACATTTCGTTTGGTATACTGTTTAATTCGCCCTGAAAAGCATGATAAAGGGGGGGAAAAAGATAAGACTTACAAGACTTCTTCTGGAAAAGATTTGAAACTCGATGGATATCAGGATGTTCTCTGCAGCTACATCAACAATTCAAATACGACGTTTGTCCGGAGATATGCTAGGAGGCTGTTTCTGCATATATGTGGGAGTAAGACACATTACTACAGTGTGAGGGACTCTTGGCAGTTCTCAAGTGAAATTAAGAAGCTCTACAAGCACATCAATAAGTCTGGTGGATTTCAATCTTCCATCTCTTATGAAAGGAGTGTGAAAATAGTCAAGTGTCTCTCCACCATTGCTGAAGTTTTTGCTGCAAGACCTAGAAACTGGCAGAAATATTGCTTGAGGCACAGTGATGTCTTGCCTTTCCTCATAAATGGACTTTTCACCTTCGGAGAAGAATGTGTTGTTCAAACACTGAAACTTTTAAATTTGGCCTTCTACACAAGAAAGGATGCCAATCACACTTCACAGAAGGTTGAAAGTGGAGGAGATGGAGCTATAAGTTCAAATAAGTTGGGGCTTCAATCTGTTGAGTCTAAGAAAAAGAAGAAAGGTGAAGAAGGAAGTGAATCTACTAAAGAGAAATCTTACATGGATATGGAACAGGTGTTGCATGTCTTCACTGACCGTGGTGACGATTTTCTGAAGCAATTTATTGACACATTTTTGTTAGAATGGAATTCAAGCATTGTGCGTGCGGAAGCCAAGTGTGTCGTACTTGGTGCTTGGCACCATGGCAAACAGCCATTCAAGGAGACACTGTTATCTGTGCTCCTGCAGAAGGTTAGACATTTACCATTATATGGATAGAATGTCATTGAGTATACAGAGCTTATCACATGCTTGCTTGGAAAATCGCAAGATAGCAGCTTAAAGCAGCAGAACATTGAAATCACAGACAAGTGTTTGACTTCTGATGTGATTAAATCCATTTTTGAGACACTCCACACACAAAACGAACTTCTGGCTAATCATCCTAACTCACGTATTTACAACACCTTGAGTGGTTTGGTGGAATTTGATGGTTACTATCTCGAGATTGAGCCCTGTGTTGCCTGCAGCTCATCTGAGGTTCCTTACAATCGCATGAAGCTTGAAAGTCTGAAATCTGAAACAAAGTTCACTGATAATCGGATCATTGTGAAATGCACTGGTAGCTACACCATTCAGAGTGTGACCATGTGCATGATGCTCGAAAATCAAAATCAGTGAAAGTGCTGAATCTTTATTATAACAACAGGCCTGTGGCGGATTTGTCATTTATTCATTTATGTATTTATTCATTTATGTATTTATTTGGGCTTGTTAATTAACTAGTACATTGCATAAAACATAGAAGCCATGGATGACTCATGAGTTTGAGCTGATATATTTTTTTTATTTTGCTTATAGGTGGAGTCAAAGACACGATTGCAATTGGTTCATTGAGTTTATTGTAAGCAAACAGAAAATCTCGCAACTGCAGTCCCAAAGGTATTTTCCTTGAATCTGTATTATATTTTCTAGTTGTTTGTTTCTTATTCTCTGATAACAATGAATACATTATGAATAAATTATGATTGATCTATCAAAGAGAAAAATTGTGCATGTTTTTAATATAAGTAATTATTCTTTATTATGAGCTTAATTTTTTCTTTATATATCCATTCTTGTTTATCAATATTTTGAAAATCATTTTCAGAAATTTGTATTTTCTGCAGAATATAAATGCAACATGAGTACTACGCGGTCTTGGATGTACAATAGAATGCAAAATGGTATTCTGAATAGGGATTTTATTGTTGGGGTAGACAATTTCTTAAGTACTGTATGACCAGTCCAGAGGTGTATAGGATCGTTGCAAGAATATCAGATTTCTTCCTTTCGATGATGTGAAATACCACTTGTACTCAAGAGGAGTCGTTCGTTTTTATGAAAGATGGACATGTCATGGTGAGGAGCATGACGGGAGTGGTAGCTCTAATCAATCAAACAGACAAGTACCAGAAAGTTTTGTTGAACCTGCAATGGGTGATTACACCCAAATGGTGATGGACGCTGGAGGTCCCGATTTTGAGGCACGTGTTGTGGAAGCTGAAGAACCGAACCCAAATGATAAGAAATTATATGACCTTCTCAGTGCGGCTGACAAGGAGTTATGGGAGGGTTGCACAAAGGCAACTTTATTATCCACTGTGGCGAGGATGCTAACTATCAAAGCAGATTTTAACTTGTCTGTGCGATGGTATGATGCACAGTGCCAGCTAATGCACGATATCATGCCAGAGGACAATTGTTTCGTGAAGAATTTTTATGAAACAAAAAAATTGATTGAGGGTTTGGGATTGCCGGCACAAAAGATTGACTGTTGTCAGTTGGGATGTATGTTATTCTGGAAAGAAGATGAGTGCTTAGAGTGTTGTAAGTTTTTTGAAAAACCACATTATAAAGTAAAAAATGGGTGATGGAGGCCGATACAGTACATGTTTTACTTGCCCATCACACCAAGGTTGAAACGTCTATTTGTATCTACAAGGACGGCTTCGTATATGCGGTGGCATGCGGGTCATCGTCATGAAAGTGGAGATGTGTTGTGGCACCCGAGTGATACGAATGCTTGGAAGCATCTCGATGCACTATTTCCCTCTTTCGGAATGGAGGCAGGGAATGTACGTTTGGGTCTTTGCACCGATGGATTCCAACCATTTGGACAATTAGGAAGACAATATTCTTGTTGGCCCATAGTTGTGACACCGTACAACCTTCCCCCAAATATGTGCCTGAAAGATGAATATTTGTTTCTTTCTGTCGTAGTACCGGGTGGTGCAAATCCAAAACAAAAGATTGATGTATATTTGCAGCCACTTATCGAGGAGCTGAACATTCTATGGTGCACTGGAGTTGAAACATTTGATGCATCTCGTGGACAATTTAATCATGAAAGTTGCACTATTATGGACTATAGGTAAAAATATGCACATTTCTCTATAAGTAATTGTCCTCAAATTTTATATTAATAATAAAACTAATTTTTCTAGGTGATCTACCTGCCTATTCGATGATGTCTGGGTGGGGGACCTCTGGAAAGACTGCTTGCCCAATATGTCAGGAACAACAATGGCTTTCACTCTATTAAATGGTTGCAAACAGTCGTGGTTTGATGCTCATCGTAAGTTTCTTCCCCAGAATCACCCGTACCGTTTTGATCGATAGAAATTTAAAAAAAGAATTACCGACTTCAATCCCCCGCCACCTATCAAAACGGGAGCAGAACAACTCCAAGAGATAGATGGTTATGGGTTTCTGAAAGTAACAGAGTTAGATGCTACTGATGTGAATCAAAGGCTTGCCCGTGTGTGTGGATGGCAGAAAAGAAGTATTTTCTGGGACTTACCTTATTGGAAGGATTTATTGGTACGACATAATCTGGATGTTATGCATATTGAGAAAAATGTATTCGAGAATATATTCAACACGGTAATGGATGTGAAGGGTAAGACAAAGGATAATGCAAAGGCACGGGCGGACATGACAGAACTTTTTGATAGCAAAGAACTCGAATATGACATTGTCCGTCAATACTACCCTCCAGCTGCGTATACATTGGATAAACCTCGTAGGAAAGAATTCCTTACGTGGGTTGAAAAGTTGAAGATGCCTGATGGATACATGTCCAACCTCGGCCGATGTGTGGACATGACGAAATATCGGTTGTTTGGAATGAATAGCCACGATTGTCATGTCTTCATGCAAAGGCTCATTCCAATTGGGTTTCGAGAGCTCTTGCCTAAGAAGATTTGGGAGCCACTAACCGAGTTAAGCAACTTCTTTCGTCGGCTTACGTCAAAAGTTGTTGCTGTTAGTGATATGGAGATGTTAAGAGTCTGAAATACCCGTGATCCTTTGCAAATTGGAGACAATATTTGTTCCAGGTTTCTTTAATAGTATGGAAAATCTTCCCGTTCATCGACCACACGAGATGAAAATTGCTGGGCCTATTCAATTTCGTTGGATGTATCCTTTCGAGAGGTACATAGAATCAATCTGAAATGTTCTTTCATGTCACCTTTAGCGTATACTTAAACCTGTTTGCATAACCTACACGACAATGTTGTTTTCTTTTCATAGGTTTTTGAATCGTCTCAAAAGGATGGTTAAAAATAAGGCCCATGTTGAAGGGTCAATTGTAAATGCATATCTCGTAAGGGAGGCTAGCTTCTTTTGCTCGCACTATTTTGAAAAACACGTCTATACGCGTGCGAGGAATGTTCCTAGACAAGATGACGGTGGTGCGCCTATTTATGGAAATAGTGATACATTGCCTGTGTTCAACCATCCAGCCCGATTGCAAGGCAAACCCAAGAAATGGTTTATAACTCCTAGAGAACGGAATGCAATTCAGACATACTTTCTCCTAAATGTCCCCGAAATAGATCCGTTCATATTGTAAGCTTTTTGGGTTTCCTGATTACAATTTTTGTCTATGTTATTATGTATTAGTGAAATTTGATGTTTTTACTGTAGGATCTTTGACAATGAATTGAGGCAATCGAATCCACGTATTTCAGAGGTCAAGGCTGCTTCGCAGCTTCAAAAGAACTTTATAACATGGTTCTACGAATATGTATGTATTTGGTGTTGACATACAACTACTTTACTGATCTAGTAATATGGTATAATTATCTACTTCTCTATGTTAGGCGGAGAACCAACATGCTTTGGATAAAATTTTTCAAGATATTGTGCACGGCCCGTTGGTGGAGGTTACCACATATCCAATTTGTTTTATCAACGGTTACCGTTTCCACACGGAGACACATGGATCAAACAGGTTAACTTATAACTGCGGGGTTTGCATAGATGCTGGAGGGTTAGAGTATTATGGAAATATTCAAGAAATTATGGAGGTTGAGTTTTATGCTCTACCCATAAAACGATGCATCTTCTTTCGTTGTGATTGGTTCGATCCAAGTAGTGGTGTCGGAACAAAGAAGCATGAAAATTACAACTTGGTTGAGGTAAACAAACGGAAAAAATTATGTACTTATGAACCTTTTATACTTGGTCTGCAAGCTACGCAGGTCAGCTATATTTCATTCCCAAGTTTGAGAAAGGACAAAGATGATTGGTTGGTTGTTTGTCGGGTGAAACCTCGAGGTTGGATGGAATTGGTAGACGGAGAAGTGCTCACTCAACCAGAAACTGAGACGTACCAAGATCCAGTTGTTGAAGCATGCATGATTGAATCTGTTAGAATCGGGGAATCTATAAATTTGGTATCAACAAGTGGCGGAGTTGGTATACCCTTGCAAATGTCTGATGACTCTGATACAGAGGAAGAAATCTTTCTTGAGACATCTAGTTCTGATGACAATCAATTTTACTCCTTGAGTTCGGATGATGATGTGCCTTATGACTAGGTTAAAACTTTATAAGAATTAATCTTATTTATATATTCTCATAATTCCGAACTATATTTAAGATTTTTGATAATGTACTTTCAATTGTAGATGTCGCAGGGATCCAATGAACAACAACGAAGCCAGAACATCCGCCGTCTGGCAAGGTCACAAATGTTGTTGTAGCAAGCGGAAACGTAAGAGGAGCAACATGAGCCGAGTTTTTCTGAGACCCAAGTAGGAGAAGGGTCAGGTAAGAAAGATATAACAATTTCAATATCTTTAAAGTTGTGCAAATATAAATAAAATTCATAACTATTCATTATGCAGGTACGTCTGCAGATGCTACACCGGCCGAGAATACACATGCTACCACATCACGTAAGTAAATTTTATGAGAATGCTATAGTTAATTCTTTTTAGATTACATGAAGCTCTTATTCGAACAGATGTTGGAGATTCTCAAGCAGATATTGTTGTTGGAGACGACCCACGTGTCGAAGTGAGAGTCGAGTCGGGTGGGAGGTATGTTTTTGTCTAAGATCTTTTTGCTAGCATTCAACTTGGTATTGTAGTATAAATTTAAAATGTATAAAACTTACAGCATCTTCTGGCCACGTGATGTTTCGATTAAGTTCCGAGATGTTTTCAAATCAAAATTAGTGAAGGAAGGAAGCAAGGGGCTCTCCGTACCAGATGATACACGCCGGTGGTATACGACTTAGATGAAGGTATGCCAACTAATTATGTGAATTCATAACATACTAATTTAGATTCACTTCCATTTCTTCTAACATTTTTGTATTGTGTATTCTAATCAATGCAGAAGTACATCATGTGGGATCCGGCTTATGAGGAAAAAGTCTTAAAGAAACTTAATACTAGGGCACAAGAGGCCTATAACAAGTGGATGAGTGATATTCGAGGTGGGCGGGATAAAACCGCACACAAGATTATTCCCACTGCGGTGCTCGGTGCATGGAAAAGGGCTTGGAGCTCCAATGATGCACAAAAAAGGTCAAAGACTGCCAAGACTAATAGACGTCGGGGCAATTTAGCAAATAATCCAGAGTCGACGTATACCGGGGGATCACGCTCGTTCATGGAGACGGCAAAAAAGTTGGTTAGTAGTAATTTTACTTATATATAATTGTGTATTCTTTTTGTTTGATATTCGATATGCAATGCATAATCTTGAGAAATGGGGAACGTATGAGTGGGCTCACACGAGGAAGCACGATAAAAAATCATCGTGCAACATGAAGGCTACCCGAGTAGCGGTATGAAAATCATATGTTTTAAAGCACTATTTAAAGTATTGCATATAATTCATGAATATATTTGTATTTTTAGGATAGAATGAAACATATTGAAGAGAGGATGTCCCAACTTGGGGACAATGACTATAGCAAGGACGAGGCGTTTCTAAGCTTAGTCCCCCTTGATAAGAAAAAACGTATATTTGGGTTGGGATCATTGGCATCAACGGTTCCTACTGAACAATCATCATTTAACAGTGACGGCCGCACCCCTACAGTTGAACCTACAGATATGGAATGCATAATGAGAATAGAACACGAGCAGCAGATTATGAAGGAACAAAATATGACCATCATGGAACAGTTACGGAAGATTCAGGCTCACTTAGACCGTCGTAACCCGGAGGGCGATACCGGTGCTCCCCCGATCGTGTGATGTATGTTTGCTTTATATTTCGTTTACTTTTGGTGTTTTCTGAATTGATGGAATGTTTGCTTCATATTTCGTTTACTTTTGGTATATTCTGAATTGATGGAATTTTTGCTTCATGTTTCGTTTACTTTTGGTATTTTCTGAATTGATGGAATGTTTCCTCCATATTTCGTTTACTTTTTGGTATTTTCTGAATTGATGGAATGTTTACTTTATTTTATGTTATCATATGGCATTGAAGATGAAGTTTATTTTGTTTACATGGTGCTTACTATTTGGATGGTTAAAATGATTTCTTATAATGTTATTTTGTACTTGTTTGAGACAAGTGTACGAATTTAAAATAAATATATTGTTAGATTGTAATTATTTTGGAAGTATAGAAATTTGAAATGAACTAGTGATGATAATTTGTAAAATGATTTGCGATGGATATTTGAGAATGAATGAATTCCCTTGCAAATTTTGAATCAATTTGCGATGGATATTTGCGAAAGAATGAATTTCCTCGCAAATTTTGAATCAACTTGCGATGGATATTTGCGAAGGAATGAACTTCCTCGCAAATTTTGACCCCAAGTCCAAAATGATGTAACGTTATTGTTGGACCCCAAGTCCAAAATGACTTAAATGTCGAAGATAGCGACTTCCATTAGGCTGCGGAGCTTCCATGGAGCAAGAAGATGTGACTTCCATAGACCTTCGGACGACAAGCTTCATCAACCCTGAATCGCCAACCTCATAATGTCAATGGCAGATCATGGTACCTAGAGGTCCTAAGGGTCAAAACGGAAGGAAGAAGAATGAGGGTTCCATGTAACTCAAGGCTGTCGGGAACATATCCCCGTAGACCGGCTATGAGTATGATGGAAACGAATTAGGGTAAGCTGCAGGTCTGATCTGGAGGCAATGGAAAAAATTCAGAGTGAATAGAACTTGGTCCAGGAATGATGGAAGATGCTCAAGACGAATGGAACTCGGTCCAGAGGCAATGGAAGCCGCTGGGAACTGATGGAAAGAGGTTACTTAGTGGTTAAGAGAGATAGAAAGAAGTGGGAATAATTTGTAACCACCTATGTTAGTGGGAGAAGTGGTTATTCTAGCTTAGGATTACAAGTAGAAAAAAGAAACACAACACACACACGCACAACAGAACAAATCGCATCTTTTCATATTTTTCTTCCTTGTTTTATTTTTGTTTATGCAATTTAATTCCGATTATATGTTTTCTACAATTTATTTACTCGCTTTCCGTAGTTAATCATAGTTTACTTCAGTAATCGTGTGAAATTCGCATTGCCAGACGATGGATTGGCTCTCTAGAGTACTTTCGGAACCCACACCGATGAAATCGACGAGCTATTTTGGAATTCCGAATCGCAGGATCCAACAATTGGCACGCCTAGTGGGACCAAGTCGGGTTCGTGTTCGTGTATGCAACTTTGTAGCGGTAAAGTGATCACCATGGACAATCAGAATCAAGGCTCAGGCCTGAATATCGGCGCAAGATTTCCTGGGACTAGAACGCCGGTTCATCCCAGTGGAAGCCGCACTCCAGGGCTGAAGAGAGAGGAGGAATCGTCATCGACCGAAAGGATGGTGACCATGGTACGCAGGGAAATGAATTAGTGTATTCAGGCCGGAATCGGAGATATCGCGTACGAAATTTCTAGGCAATTGGCTAATGTGATCCGGCCAACTGTAAGGAATGAAGCGTTTCAGATTCGCGAAGATGAACGTCAAGCAGCGGCCAGTGGAATCCAGAATTCTGGAATTCCAGGAAACACGTATGGAGGTCCGAAAGGAATAACTCCATCTGCTGGGGGGATTCCATCTCTTACAAGAAACGTCGGTTCCAATTTGGTTCGGGGAAGCACTGGATCGCCTAGGGGACCAACGAGTGGAGCAGGATTGCAGTTCGGCAATGTAACGATTCTGCAACACCCGCAAGGAGGGCAACTCAGTGGAGGATATGGCCCTCAAGTGGCAGGAGGACAAGACGTTGCAGGAAGCGTTGTTTATGGAACCCATCCAGGGATAGCGCCACCAGGGCAGGTCGCAGGACAGCCTAATTGGAACACACCTCCAGCGCCGTGGGCTCAGCAGGCTCCATATGCCGCTGTCCCTTAGGGAGGAATGGCTGGTCAAGCTTGGGGACCAGGAGGGCAGCCGCTGATTCCTAATCAGTAGGAGGCCCGACCATTAATAGATACGGATATTCAAGTGGAAAGTATCCGAAGAGCTTTCCTATGAATGAAATTCGAAGAGTGACCGGTATATCAAAGGCCTTACCCAGCTTGGGTAAGTGAGATGATGCCGTTGCCAGTTCGAAATAAAGCACCGGGTTTTCCACTGTTCTCAGGCGAAGATGAGAGATCAACGATAGAACATATCGGGAAATTTACAGCTCAATACGGAGATTTGGGAGGAAATGATTGGTATAGTTTACAATTGTTTTCTTTATCTCCGACGGGTACTGCATTTTCGTGGTATACATCGCTGGCACCAGGTACTGTGCAGTCTTGGTCAGATTTGGAAAGGCTTTTTCATGACCGTTTTTATGTGCCACCAGTGGAGACTACAATATCCCACCTGGTAGCCGTAAAATAGGGATATGATGAGCCTGTGGCGCAATTTTTGGAGAGGTTTTGACAAGCTAAGACACGGTGCACAGTGCAGATCCCCGAACAACAAGCAACCGTGATGGCAGTGGATAATATGCGATCAGATCTTTGAGATCGGCTGGGAGTTCAAGATTTTTAGGATTTTTCGCATTTAAGTGCACTCGCAATGAGAGCAGAAAAGCTCATTCGAGAGAGACGGGATGCTGCTGTAGGTAGGTGGAAGAAAGATGGAAAAGCAGGGATAACTTGCTGTGCGGGTGATGAAAGTTCAGCGGACGAAGATTGTGGCAAGGAACAAGATGTGTTAGCGGCTGAATTGCTGAAAGGAAAAACTTACTCCTGTTCGGCATTAAAACCTACAAGGGGTAAGGAGGTCGGAGGCGTGCAGTATACCTTCAATGTGTCTAAAGTAGAACAGATTTTTGATCATTTGCTAAAGGACAAACAAATCAAACTCCGAGACGGGCAGCGAGTGCCGTCACAAGAGGAACTGAAAGGGAAAGTGTACTGCAAGTGGCATGGGAGTTATACACATACTACCGCCAACTGTAGGTACCTACGAAACACGATTCAGAAGGCTTTAGACGAAGGCAGACTGAAGCTAGCTGAAAAGAGTATGCAGTTGGATGCAAATCCATTCCCTGCACCATCCATTAATACCATGACTACAAGAGGTCTTAAGAAACAGAAAAAAGGAAAACAACTAGTTCGGCAACCGGTTCATGAGTAACTCGGGCCTAGGATTCCACAACGGGGTTCGGTATTTGATAGGCTGTCTGTGAGAAAGACGCCTAATGGAAATGTCGGAAGTAAGGAACCTAGGGTCGTAGAAAGGAATCCTAACTTGAAAGTGGCGATTCCAAATGCCCGGGAAGTTCGGGAGCATCATAATATGATGATTAAAGCCACAGCTTCAGGCTCAACTATTAAGCCGGATGCCACGGTGGCTGAGGTAAAATTTGCTAGCGGGAAACGAGTTTGGACCATTACGTCCGCTGATCAGATTACAATTACTCCAAGAACAACACGAAAGCCTCCATCAGCCGTAGATTCGGAGAAGTGGACAGTTAAAGTTCCGGAGACAAATGCCAGGAAGGCAATGGGCGACCTTACACGTTCCCGGAAAAGAAGGACACAAAGGAAACGACCACAGGCTAAATTGGAAGCTAAAGGTGTTCAGCCAAATCAGAGGGGTGCAGGGGCTAAGGACAGGAAAATCGAATCAGAAATTCAGCAAGCAGCAAGTCGGGATGAAGAAACCTCGAAAGCCCGTGAGCAGAAGGAATGACCTCAGAAAAATCAAGCGTTGCAACTTCGCCTGATTTTCTCTACGCCAAGCGCCAGACCCATTCCAAACTGGCAACGCTGATGGGTACGAAAAACTACACAATCGAAGGAGTGTAATGCTGAAGGTGGTCATCTATCGGTTGTGGGGGTATTGCGATCTGAATTCAAAGCTCCAGAAGGGGAGCAAAATTATGAGGGAGTGACCGTAGATGAAGAACTAGCGGCAGAATGGAACGATGTGACAACAATCACGTTTGATCGGATTGGATCCGGGCAAAATAAACACGTAAAGCCCCTGTACATTCAAGCTTTAATGGAGGGATGACCAGTGGGCAGAGTACTGATAGACGGTGGCACATTCGCCAACGTAATGCCGTTTCGGACGTTCTGAAAGTTAGGAAAAACAAGGTATGTTTTAATACCAACTTTGGTGCGAGCTACGGTTTTTATGGGAAATTCGTATAAACCAGCGGGTATCGCTACCGTTGAGGTACAAGTAAGCAACAAGAAGTTGCCCATAGCATTCATAATCATAGACACTCGCCCTTCGTATGCAGCATTATTGGGGCGAGACTGGATTCACGCTTGCGAGTGTGTACCGTCGACTTTGCACCAGAAGTTGCTATTCTGGGATGGCGATGAGGTTCAAGAAGTGGAGGCGGAGAAAGACCCATTCGCAGCAGAAGTCACAGCTATAGATGCAATTTTCTACTATTCGAAGATGATCCCGTTGTCCGAAGTAATCGCCTCTATGCCTAACGAGGGCAATTATGAATGTGTGTTCAGTGATAATCAATTCAGAATTCAAGCGAGGGCCGATCCACGGCCTACGAATGAAGAATAATATGATGAATTGCGAATGCGTCGAAATTCAATTTGAGCCGCACGGAGTAGACTTTGTTACGAATACAGGGCCGTCCAGAGCACGTTCCACAGAAGGTGGTGAGCGGTTCGAAACAGGCTCTGTGGCGAGTTCAGAACCGTTTAGAGCTGGCCCCTTGAAAAACCCTGGGCCGCCTGAAACAGGCTTTGTTACGCAACATCCAGGGCTGGCCATAGCAAAATCCGTGGAAGAAATGGAGCAGCTTAGAGGAAAGTTCAGCAGCGACCGAGAACCATACAAGGAAATTGGCGGTGAAGTACAGTTACCGTCGCCCGTGCATAAAACCTATCCAGTGTTCCAGGCCCAAGATCCGCTGGAAGATGTTGACCTCAGTGTCGACGAAGTTCCGCGAGTCACCAAAGTTAGTGCGTTGTTAACATCAAAAGATCGAGCTGCCTTGGTGACACTTATAAAGGAATACCGGGATTGTTTCGCTTGGGATTACGATGAAATACAAGGCTTGGCTCGAGAACTCGTGGAACATCAGCTAACCATAAAAGCCGGATACAAACCCCACAAGCAGCCGCCGCGAAGGTTTAATCCAGATGTGTACCCGAAGATCAAGGAAGAAATCCAACGGCTGTTGGGAGCAGGATTCATTCGGACTTGTCGATACCCGGAATGGGTGGCCAATGTCGTCCCCGTACTCAAGAAAAATGGCAAATTACGGGTATGCGTCGATTATCGCAATCTGAATTTGGCAACACCGAAGGACGAATACGTCATGCCTATTGCCGATATGTTAGTAGATGCAGCCGCCATGAACGGGAGTCTGTCGTTTATGGATGGATATTTCGGCTATAACCAGATTTTCATAGCTGAGGAGGATGTTGCAAAAACAGCATTTCGATGCCCAGGAGCCCTTGGGGTATATGAGTAGGTGGTGATGCCGTTTGGGTTGAAAAATGCTGGAGCGACTTACCAGCGAGCGATGAACACCATATTCCAAGATTTAATTGGACAATCGGTGGAAGTTTACATCGAAGACATAGTGGTAAAATCCAAGAGTTTTTCGGAACATCTGGTGGATCTCGAGCAAGCTTTTCAGAGAATGAGGCACTATAATTTAAAGATGAATCCAGTGAAGTGCGCATTCGGAGTGGCCTCCGGAAACTTTCTAGGTTTCTTGGTGCATAATAAGGGTATTGAGGTGGATAGTAATAAAACGAAAGCTATCATCAATGCCCGACCGCCTGAGAATCTGAAACAACTTCAAGGATTCCTTGGGCAGGTCAACTTCCTGCGAAGGTTTGCCTCGAACGCTACAGGCAAGCTTAAAGCTTTTTCCACACTACTTAGATTGCGGAAAACATAAGAGTTTGTGTGGGAGCCGCTACACTAGCACGCTTTCGAAGCTATTAAGGAAGCTATGGCCAATCCACCGGTGTTAATGCCACCGCAGGAGGGCAAACCTCTGCGCTTGTATGTTTCAGCCACTGAGAATATGGTTGGTTGCTTACTAGCGCAGGAGGCTCCCGATAGAAGTGAACGTGCCATTTTTTACCTCAGTAAGGTAATGAATGATGCAGAGACAAGGTACACTCCTACGGAAATATTATTTCTCGCATTATTTTACGCTTACACGAAACTTAAATATTATTTAGCCCGAGGGAAACGGAAATGGTGTGTCACGTCGATATTTTGAGATATCTATTAAGCAGGTCAGCTTTAAGGGGAAGGCAAGCGAAATGCGCTGTAAAGCTAGCTGCTTTTGATCTACGATATGTGCCAATTAAAGCTGTTAAGGGACAGATCGTTGCTAACTTTCTAGCAGATCAGTTGAGCTCGGTGGCTGAGCAAGCGGCTGATCGTATGGAAGCTGTTATTAGTCCGATGCCGTGGATCTTGAAGTTCGACAGGTCCAACACGCAGACTAGCGTTGGAGCTTGGGTATTCATTGAGAACCACTGGGGAAAAAATTGGACCGTTGCCAGGGCATTGACACCCGGATTTACTAATAATCAAGCAGAATACGAAGCCTTATTAGTTGGATTGAGAATTCTATATGAAAAATGAGCCAAGGTGATCAGAGTTCAAGGCGACTCACAATTAATTTTGAAGCAGATTACTGGAGTTTTGCAATGCAAAGATGAGGGAATGAGAAATCTTCGAATTGAAGCAGTTAGGATGCTGCAAATATTTGATGATGTGGTGGTAGAATTCATACCTCGAGCTGAAAACATAATAGCTAATGATTTCGCTCAAAAGCTTCTAGGTATAAGCCATCCGCCGTGGGAAACTTTAAGTCAGAGCGAGTATGTCAGTGCCCAGTGGAAGCGGAGGATTGGCGTATGGAACTAAGGAAATATTTGGAACAACCAACCGATGAAACTCCAGAAAAGCTGCGGAAAGAGGCTCTGAAGTATACTCTGATTGACGGAGATCTTTTCCACAGAGCCGCCGATGGAATATTGATGAGATCCGTAGATACTCAAGAAGCCATGAAGGTGATGGGTGAGGTGCATGAAGGAATTTGTGGAGCACACAAATCTGGGTCAGTCATGAGATGGAGGATCCGATGATATGGGTACTTGTGGCCATCAATGACAGAAGACTGCATCAAGTACGCTCAAGGATGTGAAGCCTGTCAGCGACATGGTTCTTTGATCCGAATTCCGGCGGAAGAAATGCACGCAGTGGTGAAGCTATGGCCATTCCGGGGATGGGCGATGGATATCGTCGGGAAAATCCATCCGCCATCTTCCAGACGCCACTCGTTCATATTGGTGGCCACAGATTATTTCACAAAGTGGATAGAAGCTGTGCCGTTGGCCAATGTGATATATCAGGAAGTGATCAAGTTCGTTAAGGAACACATTATTCACCGATATGGAATCCTGCAGACGATTACCGCCGATAAAGACACTGTTTTTACCAGCGATAGAGTGGCCGTCTTCACCGCACAGTACGGGATTGCTCTTTTGCATTCGTCCCCGTACTATGCGCAAGCAAATGGGCAGGCCGAAGCAGCCAACAAAGTCTTAATTGGGGTAATCAAAAAGGCCGTGGAAGATAACCCGAGAAGATGGCACGAAGTGTTAGGGGAGGCTTTATGGGCTTGCAGACAATACTGAAATAAAGCCACCGGTTGCACTCCATTCCAACTGGTTTACAGAAAATAAGCGATATTGCCGTTGGAAATTACGGTGCCATCGCTACGAGTATTGAAGCAGAATTCGCTTAGTCCCGAGCAATATGATACAGCAATGTTACAAAGATTGGATGACGTACACGAGGATCGGATGATGGCTCTGGAAAATATCAGGGCAAATAAAGTGAATGTGCCGCGAGCCTACAACAAGATGGTACATCGGCGAACATTCCGAGAAGGAGATTTGGTATGGAAGGCAATGCTACCCGAGGGATTCAAAGACAATACATTTGGGAAGTGGTCTCCTACATGGGAAAGTCCGTATCAAGTGAGTAAAGTGTTGCCTAATGGTGCTTATAGATTGATGAGTATTGATGGGATAGAACATAGAAACATTATCAATGCTAAGCACCTTAAGGGATACATGTCGCCACTCGAGCTCGGGTGAAGAAATGTAATGTGCAAAATGAAAGCAGGCCCTGTTTAGGCTGCTAGATATAAAGCAAAATAAAAGCAGGCTATTAAGCCGCTAATGTACAAAACGAAGGCAGGCTATTAAGCCGTCGGTATACAAAATGAAAACAGGCTATTAAGCCGCTGATACGCAAAATGAAAGCAGGCCATCAAGCCGCTAATTTGCCAACAGAAAATAAAATGAATGGTCGGATATTCGGGGTAAGCTTTTGAGGACACCAGCTCGTTTGCTTTCCTCGATTAAGGACGAGGTTGACGTAGTGCTCCAATCAATGAAAAGATTTAAGTATTTTGACATTTCTCATATTGAGGACCGAGTCAAGGCCCTTTTTGATGACGCTGCATCTTTTGACGAGGCATGTTCTGACTCGATCAACGCCGTATCCTTGGCGGCTCGTAACCAATAGATTTCCGAGATCAAAGATCGCTTGTCGCACCTTGAGACGAGGCATGTTGAGGAGTGCGAAGCTATCAAGGAGTTAGAGGGGTGTGTGGAGAATATTGACGTGAAGCTTCACTCTTTACAAGAGCAAAAAAGAGAGAATATTTCCCTTATTAAGCGACGTCAAGGAGTTAATGAGAATATCACCATTCAAATTGCTGAAGTCAAGGATGAACTCGCCGTCGTAGAGAATGTCCCCGCACAAGACGAAGAATACTTAAAAAGCTTAGAAGAGTTGTTGGATATTAGCAAAGAAGAGTTGTATAATCTTAATGTTTAAGCTCAATTTGTACTCTTCATTTTGATTGACAATCAATAAATTTAAATTCTCTCATTCTTTTCTTTTTTTTTATTTATTTTTATTTGACTGAACTTGAAGGTATACCTCAAGCTGCCTACGTACCCGGTAAAGGGATCAAGTCATAACGTAGTTCAAAACAACTTGAATTTGCTTTTATTATTATTTTGCAGTTTATTCTCATCTAAGGAGTCTTGATTTGATTTGAAGGTCTCACGCATAATATCTTTTGAGAAACCTCCCGTTGATTTGCCCTATCCGGAGTCCGTCTTGAGATGTCAACTTGTATGCACCATCTGTGTAGACCTTAGCGACGACATAGGGTCCATCCCACTTAGATAAAAATTTATTTCCCGAATGAAAGTTGATCACAATTGGCCTTCTCACAGCAAGAACCAAGTCCCCGATTTGAAAGGATGGTGATTTGACTTTTTTATTGTAAGGTCGAGACAATCGTGCTTGATAACATTCCAGTCTTTGTTGAGCTTGTAGTCTTTTCTCGTCGAGGGCCTCTAGCTCTTCGAGTCTCAATCAGGCATTTTCTTTGGTCCTCAATTCTTCCTGAAGAGCAATCCTTAGCGAAGGAATTTGTCTTTCCAATGGAAGGATAGCTTCGACCCCATATACAAGTGAGTATGGTGTCGCTTGTGTTGGAGTGCGGAATGTAGTACGATAGGCCCACAAAGCTTCACCAATGCGGTCATGCCAATCTCTTTTTGATTTGGAGACAACCTTTTTCAGCAAGTTACAAAGCGTTTTATTGAATGCCTCTGCAAGTCCATTTGCCGGTGCATAATACATCGAGGACTTCTTTTGTTGGAAGCCAAACTTTTCACAAAGTTTGTTGATGTGAGTATTGGCGAAAGATCTTCCATTATCGGTGATGATACACTGAGGAACCCCATAACGATAAATGATGTTGACTCGTATGAAGTCAACTACCTTCTTCTTTTTTACTTCTTTCAAAGGAACTGCTTCTGCCCATTTAGAGAAGTAGTCTGTTGCAACCAAGATATAGAGATGTCCAAAGGACGACTTTGTGAGTGGTCCTACGACGTCCATGCCCCAGGTATCGAATGGCCATGAAGCAATAGTTTGGTGCAATGGTTCTGGTGGTTGATTGATAAAGTTAGCATAAAATTGACACGGTTGGCATCTCCGTGCAAACTCTATGCAGTCTTTAACCATGGTTGGCCAATAATACCCCATCCTTTTTATTCAGAAGTGTAACTTTGTGCCAACTTGATGAGCTCCATAGATTCCGGCATGAGTTTCCTCCATAGCTTGTTTGGCTTGATAATTGCCAAGGCATCGAAGGAACATGTTGTCGAATGACCGACGATAGAGTATGCCGTTGAAGTAGGCATAGCGTGCAGCTCTTCTTCGGACATCTGCTCGTCTGCGCGGGTCACTCGGGAGCTTGTCATATTTTAAGAAATCTAATATTGGTTGCCGTCAATCTTCTTCTTCTTCTTGAATTTCAAACATCTTGATGAGGTGATTTACTTCATTATCAACACATTTTTCTTCTTCATACTTGCAGGAATCCACCCAAACTTTGCATATCGGAATATACACCTGTTGATCCGGGATGGATAGAGTCGATGCCAATTTAGCCAAAGCGTCAGCTTGCCCGTTCCCTTTCCTCGGGATATATTCAATAGAGACATCCCCGAGCAACTCAATGATTGCCTTAGCATACTTTAAGTAAGGCATCAGTTCTGGTTTCTTTACTTTGAACTCTCCAGTGATTTGACTTACAATCAGTTTGGAGTCCCCGTATACTTGAGGATGGCGTTGCTTGATGTCTACCGCCATTTTTAGGCCGAGGATGAGTGCTTGATACTCTGCCACATTATTTGAACACTTTTCTTTTAAGGCAAAGGAGTATGGAAGGACTTCTCCTTGTGATGTGACAAATATTACTCCGGCTCCAGCTCCATTTTTTTGTGATGAGCCGTCAAAATACATTTTCCACGGTGGGGTGATTTCGACAAAAAATGCATCTTTATCAGGAAAGTCGTTAGACAACTCCCACTCAGCGGGGATGGGATGATCAGCAAGGAAGTTAGCCAATATTTGTCCTTTTACAGTTTTATGTGGTACATAAATGATTTCAAATTGTTTCAGCTACAGGTACCACCTTGCGAGTCGATCAGAAAGGACAGGCTTTGACATTACATATTTTAAGGGATTTGCTTTGGACACCAACCGGATAGTGTGTGCTTGGAAGTAATATTTCAACTTTTTTATGGCAAAGATGAGCGCCAAACATATGTTTTCCACCGGTGAATAATTTAGTTCATTTGGTGTCATCATTCTACTGAGGTAATAGAGAACATTTTCTTTCCCTTTATTGGCTTCATGTGCTAATAAGGCTCCAACTGAATGTTCTTGTGTGGCGATGTAGAGTGTCAACGGATGTCCAGGAATCGGCGCTGTCAGCATTGGTGTCTTCGTCAAGTAGTCTTTGATACTTTGGAATGCCTTATTGCATGCTTCATCCCAATGGAAAGGCACTCCTTTCTTCATGATTTGGCTGAAAGGTTGACATCGTTCAGCAAGGTTAGAGCTGAATCTTCTTATATATGCTAATTTCCCTTGTAAGCTTTTTAGCTCGTGGATGTTGCGAGGCTCAGGCATTTTTGTGATGGCATCTATCTTTGCCTGTTCAATCTCAATTCCACGACTATGGACAATGAATCCGAGGAATTTTCCGGAGGTGACTCCAAAAGTGCACTTGAGAGGATTCATTTTTAATTGGTAGCGCCTCAACCTTTCAAAAACCTTAGTCTTGCAGGTTATCTTCTTTTCTATTGGATTTGACAACCAAGTCATCAACATAGCACTCTACATTTTTGTGTAGCATGTCATCAAAGATCTTTTGCATTGCTCTTTTGTAGGTTGCCCCCGCATTTTTCAATCCGAAAGGCATAACTTTGTAACAGTAGATACCTTTCGGTGTACGAAAGGCGGTTAACTCTTCATCTTCAGGTGCCATACAAATTTGGTTATATCCAGATGATCCATCCATAAAAGAAAGCGTTTCATGTCCTGTCATTGCATCAATCATCAATTCAGTTATGGGTAAAGGAAAATCATCTTTTGGGCATGCTTCGTTTAAGTCCCGGAAATCTACACAAACTCGGATTTGTCCATTATTCTTCTTTACAGGTACGATGTTGGAAATCCATTGAGGGTATTTGACTTCACGGATGAATCCCACTTCAATGAGTTTGTTGACTTCATTTTCAATTTGAGGGATGAGTTCAGGACGGAATCTTCGTTGCGCTTGCTTTACAGAGCGAGCTCCCTTCCTCACACCTAGATGGTGGACCGCAACTTTCGGGTCTAAGCCGGGCATTTCTTTATATGACCAAGCGAAGACATCTTGGAATTCGTTGAGAAATCGGGTGTAGGCATTCATATCATCCTCACCTAGCTCTTTGCTGACATAGACGGGTCTTAGGTGATCTTCAATTCCCAAGTTGATTTCTTCTAACTCGTCAACTGCAGCTTTGACCCCTTCTTCAAGCGCGGCGGGTGCATTTTCTGCATCTTCTTCAATCATTGTCTCTTCACCCCCTTCAGTGATGTAGCAAGATGATGCAACACTTTCTTCATTATCTTCTTTGGGTTTGGTGAAGACAATGGTTTGCCATTTAGCTTTTAAAACTTTACCGCAATGTATCGTCATTTTTGTTTGGCGCGTCATACGGGACGGAAAGCGGCTTTTGATTTCTCCATCCATCTCCACATATTTTGTTGA